CCACATCTCTGTCTCTCTTTTTCTTTTCTTTTTTTTAAATTTTTTAAATGTTTACTTATTTTTGAGAGAGACAGAGATGGAGCAGGGGAGGGGCAGAGAGAGACAAACACACAATCCAAAGCAGGCTCCAGGCTCCAAGCTGTCAGCACAGAGCCCAACGCAGGGCTCGAACTCATGAACTGTGAGATCATGACCTGAGCCAAAGTCGGATGCCCAACCAACTGAGCCACCCTGGCACCCCTCTTTTTCTTTTCCTGTCTCTCACTGTGTGTCTCTCTCTGCGTTTCTCTCTCTGTATCCCTCTCTCTCTCTCCCTCCCCTTCTTTCTCTCTCCTCTCTTCATGCACTCACTCGCCTACCTTCTGGGATGCAGTCCACCCCATCATCAATACCGCCCTAGTCTAAGCCACCATCATTTCTCACATGTCCAACTTGGCAGCCTCATAACTTGTCTTCCCACCTCCATTCTTGCCTTGCTTCCACCAATTGTCCACCTCTCTGACAAAGCAAATATTTTAAAATGAAAATCTAATCATGGTACTCCCCTGCTTAAAACCATGGATAAAGAAAGAACTCCTCAACACAGCCTACAAGACCCTTCCCATTCTCCAACCACATCCAGCTCCACTTATCCACCCCACTCACTGCACCCCAGCTTCCCTGGTCTTCCAGTTCTTCAAAGAGTCCTTCTCTATCCCATCCTAGAGCCTTTGAATTTGAAATCTCCTTGAAATGCTCCTCTCACTCCCAGCCCCACATCCCTTTACCTAATTAACACTTACTCATCTTTTACTTCTTATCTCAGATTCAAATATCACTTCCTAAGAGAAGCCTTCCCTGATTGCCAGACCACATCAGATCTCACTGGTACATGTTCTCTCATTTGTTTGACTTTTTCGTTATAGCACTTATCCAAGTTTAGAAATGTGTGTATGTGTGTGTATTTGATGGATTGATTCATGCCTGTGTCTTGTACTTAAGACCCAGGAAATCAGAGACCACGTCAACTTCTTAAAATAACTTCATACCCAGAATTCAGTACAGTGGCTAGTGCACACTTCCATTTTGTTACAGTCCCCACCACTCCCTGTTGCATTCCCAACTCCAAGTTGTGTTAGTTACAATTTATGTTGTTTGTGCTACTGTTTCCCTAGAAAAAAGAATTATTCCTTTAGACTACTGCCTCTATTAAAGGGTAGAGAAATGGAGGCTAGACCCAGAGGGCCAAGTGTTTCCAGGAAAATGGGAGACTGCATCTTTCTTTATGGAAGTAGAAAATGTACAATAAATAGTTCTGTCTCACTTACGTTTATTTCCTGTCCAGGCTCGTAGGCATTTGAATTTTCAACACCTTCCCCTAACATTATTCATATATTTCTATTACTTATTTATTTATTTAAGGTATCTGACTCTTGATCTCAGCTCAGGTCATGATTTTGCAGTTTCGTGAGTTTAAGCCCCACATCAGGCTCTGTGCTGGCAGCATGGACACTGCTTGGCATTCTCTCTCTCTCCTCTCTCTCGGCCCCTACCCCACTCATGCTGTCTCTCTTTCTCAAAATAAATAAATATACATTAAAAATTTTAAGATTTATTTCTGAACACCCACCTGGCACTAGGTATGTTCTTGGCACTGAGGATACAGCGGATATGGCAAATGAAGTCCCTGCCCTCAAGTCATAGTGCCTGAATTACAGTGTGAGTTTACTGTTGTATATCTGTCCTTCCACTAAGCAGAAGTGGTTCCAACACCAGCTCTGGAGCCAGACAGCCTTGGACCTAATCCCAGCCAGGTGGCCTTGAGCAACTTACCAAACTTCTCTATACCTTGGTTTCCTCACCTGTAAAATTGAGCTAATAGTGTTATTGTGTGCATGTAATGAGTTAAGACACAGCTGTCTCATCATAAACCCCCATATCTTTTATTTCCTACCCCTGTACCTTACGCAGGACTGGCTTCATGGGTAACGTGTCCTGCGCAGCCACACAGAGCCCCATACTTAAAAGGGCTCTCCACTTGGTTTAATGCTCTGCTGTTGCTGCCCCCCAAATTCTTAATTTTTGAACAAGGGGCCCTGTATTTTTATTTTCGTATCAGGCCCTGCAATGATGCAGCCAGTCCTGATCAATACACATTAAATGCTCAGTAAATGTCTGTTGAGAGAATGAATAAGTGAGTGAATTTAGCCAACCACAGTTGATGCTCAAGAACACCATTATCTTACAGAGCCAGTCAAGTGGCTCAGCCCCTGAGCAAAATTCAACAAACTTCGTTGTTGACTCATCCTGTCCCTTCCCTGGTACTAAAAGCCTGACCCAGGACCTTAAATTTCTTCTCATCTAACCCACCCATTTCCTGGGAAACTTTGACCTTGACAGGCTGCCAGAGTTCTCAATGGAACCAGCAGTGAACCCCATCCCATTCTCCATTCTCCAGATCAGAGTCTGCACGGTTTCTACCTCTCTATTCCCTCTCTTCCTGCTCAGCATCCCTGGAATAAGATGCACCTGGTTTCCTTCATCCCATTTTACAGATGGGGAAATAGAGGCTCAGTAAAAATAAGGTCCATCAAGATTCTCCATGCAGCCCTGCTCCTTTGCCTAGCCAAGTTTCTAGTTTTATAGTTTCTAACAAGATCCCCAGAACCAAATCACACAAATTATTTTTATAGTGGTTAATCAGACTTGATAATTACATGCTAAATCTGAGACTGAGCCCCACAACCCTAACAGTATCCCATGTTCTGACACTCTGGCCTGCAAAGACAAGCAAAGATAAACTCATCTCCCCATGCCCTGCCTGCCCTAAGTCAGCAGGTGCTGGGGCCTTTCATTCTCTCAATGTTTAATGAGAATCTGCAACATGCAGGCACCATGTAGAAGCTGGTGATGCAACTGTGAACAAAACAGACAAAAGTCCCTGATTCTCTAAGAGGGGAAACAGATAAGAAACAAATTAATTCAATAAACTGTATATGGTATGACCATGGTACTAAGCACGATGGAGAAAAATTAAGCAGGGGAGGGGCAGAGGAAGTGAGCATTTGGGAGGGTAGGAGTGGAGATTTCAATTTTAAATAGGACTGATTGGGAAAGACTTGAAGAAAGTGAAGAAGCTGGTTAATACAGCTTTCTGGAGAAAGAGCATTGCAGGCAGAAGGAACAGACAATGCAAAGCCCTGAGGCATTATCCCTGACTCATAATGTTGAGAGATACCTGAACAGACTGGAGCACTTAGCCAAACCATACACACTCCCCCTCCCAGCCCCAGCTTCTCATCTCAGTTTTGTTGCCTATAGACAAATCTAATCTATAGGGTTTTGAACCATTAGGTATTGAATTTCTGCAATGGTACTACTTTCTTTATCAACACAGTGGGGTTTTCATTTTGTCTTTGTTTGGGGTAGTCACATTTAAATGAAACAGTTCACAACAAAATTTCAATATCCAACTTGGCTTGAGATATCAGACCTGTGCTCACTGGGCCCACATGACTCTTTGTAATAATCTGTCCCTTCAGGGGGCATAAGCCCCCCTATTCACCACAATCCCAGCCAGAATGCCTCCCTTATGCAGAATGCCTGGCCCTGAATGCATTGTGGTTTACCACCAGCCCCACCCCCAACGCCTGCCTTGGAAAGCCTCTAACAATGATGGAGATTGGACACATGCCCCTTGCTGGGCATGAGGAGCAGGGGTCTCCTCCATCTTGGGAGACTGAAAGAGGCTGGGGAGATCCCTGTCAGTTCCTTCTCCCCAGGAATAGATAGATGTGAGTGGGGAGGGGCTGGGAAGCCAAGAGAGAGGTCTAAGGCTTCTCTGAGCTCATCACATGCTCTTGCATTGATCCCCCTGGAAATGCTTCTCCTCCTATTTCTGCAGAACCTAATTCTCACACATGCTGTCTTAAGCCCTGATTTCTCCCCCTGCCCAAATGGGTTGTGGCCTCTAGAAGAGCTACACTAGGAACTCTCCACCCTCCTACACTCAAGAAAAAGGGGGGTGTCTATGCACCAAAAATTTCCAAGATTGCCTAGGTCCCACCTGTTTACCTCTCCTATGCTTCACTCAACTTTCAAACTAGACCACCCTCAAATGACACCCACGTGAATTTGTATGTGTTTGAGTTGTCACGTGAGTGTGGTCTTTGTGCATGTTGATTAGGGTGCTCCTGTGTTTTCACGTGTCTTGCTGAGGGATGAGAGGGACTCCGCGTGCCTGTGAGTGTGTGTGTGTGTGTGTGTGTGTGCGCCCGCATAACCGGGTATTGTGTGTCTTTGTGTGAGCGTGGGTGAGTCTGTGTGAGTGGTTGCAACATCTTTACTCCCGACAGAAGGTCTTTGCGGCACACTTCTCTCAGCCAGCCTGCATCCTCTTCAAAGGCACTCCAGCTCAGGGACAGTCCACCTCTGGCCTTCCCCAGAATCAACACACGCATTGAGACGCACGCACACTTCCTTTCAAGCGCTGTTCCTTTGGCCCAAGAGAACCGACAAACCTTGAGCATCCTCGCTCCGACAGCCTCCTCCCCACCCCCCAACCCCACCCTCCGATGCCCTGGCTGAAGGATCCTCTACATGGAGATGGACTCAGAGCACCGGCAACGGGGAAGAAAAGTGACTGGGAGGAGAATCGAGCAAGGCAAACTGAGGACACGCTGAAGGAGTACGGACGGAGCCAGAGCCGCTGCGGGGAAGCAGGTCCCACCCACAACACGCCCCTCCCGCAGAGGGGTAGCTTGTTCCCACCCCAGTCTTCCTCTGGGGCTTCCAGGTCTCACTCTTCTCCTCAAACTGGAGCTGTGAGAGGCAGCTGGGACCCCCTCCTCCCATGCATCCCCCTCGCCCCACCAGCCGCGTCCAGGCAGCTGCTGATTGGTTGCGGGGAGCAGCGCCCCAGCTCCCCGTCTCCGAGGCGGGAGCGGAGCGGGTCCGAGGTGGGAGGCGCACGAACCGGCTCTGGGAGCCCCTCCCAAGTCCCTGTGCCCAGCGCCCTGTGCCCTACGCGACGGCCGTGCCAGGACTCCAGGAGGGCAGGTGTAGAGGGAGCAAAGGGGACCACGGCCAAAGGTAGAAGCAAGTCCTGCAGAAAGAAAGGCGCTGCTGCTCCGGCTGCTGCCTCCGCCACTGCCGCCACCACCGAACCAGCGTCCAGAGCGGGGCTGGCAGGCCAGGCACGGAGACGAGAGGAGCGAGGGGCGAGCTCATGGAGCACACGCACGCCCACCTCGTAGCCAACAGCTCGTTGTCCTGGTCCCCCGGCTCGACCTGCGGCTTGGGCTTCGTGCCCGTGGTTTATTACAGCCTCTTGCTGTGCCTCGGTTTACCAGGTGAGGAGCGTGGGGGAGAGGGAGGAAGCCGGGACCCCCGAATGCGGAGCGACCCTGTCTAGAACCCCCAGGCCTAGACATCCTCGGCGCGTGATCCCTGGCGCCCCTTCTGAAAAAGTTTAAGCCTAAGGGCAACAGCGGACATTTCCAGACTGGCGAGAAAGGAAGTTGCTGTGCCTGTCAGGGACTCGTGTGTGTGTGTGTGTGTGTGTGTGTGTGTGTGTGTGTGTGCGCGCGCGTGCGCGTCTCGAGCGTGCGTGGCAGGTGATGGGCATGGTGTATGTGTTGGTGTGAGTGTGCGCGTGGATTCGAGTATTTGCATGAGCATCTGAAGTGATCCGCGTCCCTGAAGGTGTCCAGTGGGGGCTGTGTGACTTGACCGCACTTCCCCACAGCTTTCTGGGGTTTCACTTCTCTTGTGGCCCCCCCCCACATCCACTCCAGCCTGAGAAAACCTCTGCCCCCTCCCCCACCGCGCGTGTCACCCCTGATTGGAGGTGAAGCCAGAGGTTCTGATGCCCAGCACTCTTTCTCTGGGGCTGCTGGGATGTAGCAAAGGATGAGCCCCTGTGACCCCTAAGCGAGGAAGGGGTCTCCAGGGAGGCTAGGAAGAGTCTGGGTGGGTCTGGGACCATGCCTTGGCCAGGGTAAGGGTCCAGAGACACCCACAGGCTTCAGAAGCCACCACTTCAGGGGGTCACAGTCTCCTTGAGGACATGCCTTGCCCCCTGGCTTTGCTTCCCTGTCCATCCATTCTGGGCAGCTGATGACCGCTGCGGATGTCTGGCTGGTCCCACATCTTAACGTCCTCTCCAAAGTGTGACTGAGACTTCTGCTGAATTCCTGAAGAGAGCTGGGCTGCTGGGGGCTGGGGGTGCTTGCTGTTTGTGAGAGAGGGGGAGGGGGTTCCTGGGGCTCCAGCTTGAGATAACCCCTTCTTCCAGATAGTCTCTGAGACGGTCTGTGTGGCAGAAAGATTCCTAAAGATCACTTGCAAGCAGACAAGAGAGGGACAAAAGGAAACAGAAAGAAAAAAATCCAGCATACAGCCTAGAATCACAACATCATCTACCCTGCCATTCCGCATCCTGGGAACTTGGGAGCTGGATTTCTGAAAGCCTTGTTGACATTTCCTTTTCAAAACATTCAACTTGGTGGTCAGGGCCCCTGATAAGGTTGTTTATATAAATTCCCCCTCCCAAATTTTGGAAGGAATGAGAAAGCATAAGTTTACAATCACCAAGCCTCTCTCCCAGCGAGTGATGAGGTTTTTATTACTAACTAATCATTCTGGCTGCCCTGGGAGAGACACTCAGCCTCCGATTCACCCTGCTGGGGCAGCAGCACGTGTCCTATAATTACCTTGAGCAGGAATTGATTTGTCCAGTCCCCACCTCCCCATCAGCCCCCCTGAGCCTCTCCCAGAGCTCTCTTTTAGGGAGTGAGTTTTTGAGGAGGTTGGTTATTGGTGACACTTGCTGAACCAGAGAAGTGATAGCTGCCCCTTTTCCCTTCGGCTCTCACATCAGAATGTCTGACCCCTCCGCCTTCAACCCTCCATCTCCTCTGCTGACTAAAGAAGCTACTGTCTCAGGCTTTCCTTCTGAAAACCCTTTAAGGGACAGAGACATAAAGACGGGGAGGCTCCAAGGGCCCAGAGCAGGGACATGAAGATGAGTAGAACAGGGGAAAGCTCAGACCTTCAAACACCTCAAGGTGGAAAACATGATACCTCACATCTTTACAGCATAACTCCTATGCCAAACATGGCCTTCCTGACCCATAGCATTGGCACCTATTGTGTGCCAAGCAGTCCTAGGCACAGGCTCATCATGGCTGAGCCCAGGGTTAGGAGACAAAGAGAGAGGGATTAGGATGAGAACCTGGAAGGCACTGATAGGTTCTTATGCTCCACTAAAAGCTGTGACCACCTACTGTGTGTCAAGTGCTAAAGAGGTGCCTACAGGATTCAAGGAGCTCACAAGTGGAGCTTGTGGTGGATGCAGAAGGACCAAGCATTCTGGAAAAGGATGATTAAAGAGGGCAGGCTTGCAGGAAGATGATAGGTTGATAAGTGTTTTGTTAATTGCTTGCAAGGTGGTTCAGAAGGTGAAATCCTTAAGTCATTCTCTTAGAACCATAAGGGCAGGCAAGTATGTCCTAGTGACTAAGAATGCAGACTGTAGAATGAAGCAGAGCTGGTTGTTAACATGTGGACCTTCTGTGTTTCTGTGCCTCAGTTTCCACATCTGTAAAACAGGCATTAGGACAGCAGCCACCTCCCGGAATGATGGCAAGAAGGAAAGACGTTGATGGAGATGATGGTGCAGGTTAAGCGCTCAGCTCAGTGCCTGACACACCACACACTGACTGATTGCTGCTGTGACACTGCAGTTGTGGTCATCATGAAGCTGATCTGGTTGTAAGGAGGGGGGGACTGCGTGGCATGGGAGTCAGAGAAGGGACTGGGAGCACACAAGAAAAGCACTTAGCTCAGCGCCTGAGCTCACTACAGTATTCCCCTCCCCACCCCCAGCTACCGGCAATTAGCAAACCCTCATTACCCTGCTACTGACCAGGATGCACAGCTATGCTGAGTGTGAAGTAACAGAGCACAGAGCTTGGTCATATTTTTGAAAACTGAGATTTTAATTGAATCACTTTTCCTGGCAGTGAACTCACCCCCATTTCCAAATTCTCACAGTGATTGGAAACTGAGGGGTGGATGAGGAGTGGCTGTTTGGCAACAAGGGAGCTAGTGACTAGGAGAAAGGACAGATGTTTCTTACCTCCTGCAGTATCTAGACTAAAAGGAAGAGCTTGGGAAAAGCCATGTGGTCCAATCCCCTGCCTCTAGGAATCACCTCAGTCTAACTTAACTGCTTTGGACTGGGACCCGGGGGTCCTAATATGAAGTATGGGCACAGCTCTGCCACTTAAGAATTCTTAACATTTCTGTACCACAAATTACTCCACTTGCAAAATGGGGGTAACAGCACTACCTACTACCCACACAGATAATGTATATTAAATAAGATCATCCATATAAAAATGGCTAAGTACAGTGCCTGGACTGAGGAAAACACTTGTTAGTGCCTTCTCTGCACGGGATCTTTTTCTATGCTAAATGCTTAGATTGTTGCACTTAATCTTCACCACATCCCTGTGACCTGTACATGTCCCTGAACCCATTTTACAGATGAGCAAACTGAGATTCTGAGAAATGGAGCATCCTGTCCACAGTCACACAATCAAACCAGTATGTAAACACCTGCTCTTTCCATTGTACCACGGTGCCTTCATTATTGCCAGGAAGTTCTTCTAACTAACCCCAGTCCTTTATGCTGTGTACTCAGTGGAGAACATTGGTGTGTCCCAACTGTTCCTAAAACTATATCTCTTTTCTCTTCCTTTTAAGTAAGCAAGATGTTTCTAGCTTTTTCAAATGCATACAATAAGCCAGTAAAGCTAACAAGGTGCAGTTGGGGGCCCTGATGGGGCCAAATGGGACAAGATAGTCCAAAGCAGAAGGCAGTACAGGAAGAAGAGATGAGCCTGATGCCTGAGGGAAGAGAGTGGCAGGGAGGACGGGTGAGCCTGGCTGATAAGGAAGGAGCAGCACGAAATTAAACTGAGATATGAAAGATATTTTTTTAAATTTTACCTTCTAAAAGGCACCAGGGATGTTACGGGAGACAAGGTAAGGAAGACGATAGCCTGACACCACACACAGCCCAGCAGATAGGAGCATTTCTGGAACTGCCATGTGAGGATGGCAATACCTGCCTGTGAGGATCGGTGCACAATGAAGGAGATGATGAGTCTGTCACCTGTCAGATAGTGCTTTGACACATGGTGGTTACAGTTGCTGCTAACAAGAGGTGAGAAAATGGTGACTAGCAAGCTGGACTGAGCCCTCAGATGCATTCTCTTTTGAGAACCTATAAACATCTTTTGAGAAAATATAGTAAACAGGTTAACAGTACAAGGTCTGAAGTTAGACCTCTGGGGTTTGAGTCCTGGCTTTGCTATTTATATGCTGTGTAACTTTAGGCAAGTGACTTTACTCTCTGCCTCAGTTTCCCCATCTGTAAAATTGGATGATGATAATAATGGCACATACCTCATAGAGTTGCTGTGAAAATTCAGTGGGTTATATATTTAACACAATGTCTGCCACACAGTAAGCACTCCATAAGTCATATTTTTCATCATTTAAAAATTAGGAAAATTAGGGACGCCTGGGTGGCTCAGTCAGTTAAGCGTCTGACTTCAGCTCAGGTCATGATCTCACGGTCGTGAGTTCGAGACCCACGTCGGGGTCTGGGCTGATGGCTCAGAGCCTGGAGCCTGCTTCCAATTCTGTGTCTCCCTCTCTCTCTGCCCCTCCCCCGTTCATGCTCTGTCTCTCTCTGTCCCAAAAATAAATAAACGTTGAAAAAAAAAATTTTTTTTAAAAATAAAATTAAAAAAATAAATAAATAAATAAATAAATAAAAACGGTAAAAAAAAATTTTTTTTTAAATTAGGAAAATTAAGGAAAAATTCTCAACTTGTCTTATGACACCAGCTTTACACTAATACCAAAGCAGACTAAGATATTACAAGAAAACTACCAATCAATATTCCCCATGAACATGGGCACAAAAGATCCTCAATAAAATATTACCAAATCTAACTCAGGAATATATAAGAATGATAACAAATCAAGATAAAGTTGGGTTTATCCCAGGAATGTAAGGCTGGCTCAACATCTGAAAATCATTCAGTGTGATCCACCATAATAAAAAACCTAAAAAAGGAAATCCATATGATCTTCTCAGTAGATATAAAAAAGTATTTGACAAAATTCAACATCCATTCATGATAAAAATTCATCACACTAGAGAACTTCTTTAACCTGATAAAGGTTATCAATAGGTAACCTATAGCTAACATCACATGTGATGGTAAAAGATGGAATGTTTCTCCTCTAAGATCTAGAACAAGGCAAGGAGATC